AGTGATGTAACCATTACAACATCTGCTGGTCCCAAGACATCACTTTTAAAGAGAAAGGAAGAATGGAGTAGGAGGTGGTCTTTGTTGGGTGGTCATCTGGCTTTTTCTTTGTGGGAGGCAAGTCAATGCAATTCCCACAGGCCCCTTTTCTTGAATATTTAGGGTGCCTAAATATTCTGTATATGGATCAATTTATAACACCAGAGTAGATACTTTTGAAATATTTTTCATCTCAAACATTGTTTCTGCTAGTCAAGAAAACTTTAACAATACTAGAGATGCAGAAATAATACTTGGATTTCTCTGATTTATATTTGTAATGATATTTTTTGATTCTTTTAGGTTTTTTTTTCTGATTTTGAAGTCTCACAATAAAACTATCAATAAAATACATTGTTAGTTTTTTCTTAAGGCAAACAACTTTTCTTTTTTAAATTAGATTTTCAAAATATTTTGTACCCACTAACTGATTAATACTATGTCTGTAGTTATGGTCTGAATTACTTAAATGTGTTTACTCTCTAAAGTCACTAGGGGTCACAAGATAAACCCACAATTTTAAAAAATTGTAATCGGGGCAGTTATTTTCATGATTTTTGCTGCTAAAAATCCTAAGCACTAATTATACACTTGAAAAGTAAAGATAGATTACTTGTTTGTTCTTACAAGGCATCCACTCTCATTTTATATTGTACAAAGGTTAAATTTTCACCAGGGTTAGTTTGTATTTTTCCAACATCTGAAAAAAGAAAGAGAGATGGATTTGATTATTAGCATTTCCCCCAACAAGAATGACAGAACTGTCTTAATATGTGCACGTGTGAAAGGGGAGTAAGTAAAGGAGAAAAGATAAGTGACTTTCTTTAATTTCACTGAAGTTCATTTACCCTGTCCACAGTATATCCCCCACTATGAGTTTTTTAACATCAAATTTCCAGTCTCATGGCCATGTAATTTCAGTACATAGCTTCTCATCTGGGAACCCAGTGACCATGTAAAATTTTAGAAACTTTTGTCAAGGCAGGCCCCACCCATCTGTAGCAAATTGTCTCTCCCTGGTTTGTTTGTTTGTATACAACTAAACTACTATTAATACCAACAGAAAAAAAAATACCAATGGAATTATTTGATAGGAGAAAATAAAAATTTTCTAAATTATGTAATAGTTCATGGTATTGATAAAAATGTATTATTATCAGAGGTTTCCTTCTTCACAATTGAGAGATCTTGTACCTTTACTCTTTTCTTTCTTTCTTTCTTTCTTTCTTTCTTTCTTCTTTCTTTCTTTCTTTCTTTCTTTCTTTCTTCTTTCTTTCTTTCTTTCTTTCTTTCTTTCTTCTTTCTTTCTTTCTTTCTTTCTTTCTTTCTTCTTTCTTTCTTTCTTTCTTTCTTTCTTTCTTCTTTCTTTCTTTCTTTCTTTCTTTCTTTCTTCTTTCTTTCTTTCTTTCTTTCTTTCTTTCTTCTTTCTTTCTTTCTTTCTTTCTTTCTTTCTTTTTCTTTCCTTCCTTCCTTCCTTCCTTCCTTCCTTCTCTCTCTCTTTCTTTTTTCTTCTCTTTCTTCTTTCTTATTTCTTCTCTTTCTCTTCTTTTTCTTCTCTCTTCCTTTTCTCTCTCTTTCTTCTTTTTTCTTCTCTTTCTTCTTTCTTCTTTCTTCTCTTTCTCTTCTTTTTCTTCTCTCTCTTTTTCTTTCTCTCTTTCTCCTTCTCTTTCTCGCTTCCTTTCTTTCTTTTTTTCTTCTTCCTTTTCCTTTCTTTCTTTTTCTTTCTTTCTGTTTTGCCATAGGGCTTGTGCAGTCACAAAAAAGAGAAAGAGAGAGAAAGTGAGAAGTCACCCTCCAGGGAGGATGGCCATGTTGCATGTTAACAATGCCTGGCTCTTTCTAGATCCTTTTAATTTTTTAAAAATTCTTTTGAAGTCTCAAGTTCACTGTTGGTATTGTTTTTATTTATTTATTTATTTACCAAATATTAACATATCCTCCATAAACGTATTAGAAGGAGAAAGAGTAGAGCGAAAGAAGGCATTGTAAATGCAGTAATATTCTTGGGCTCCCCCTGTAGCTTAGTGGTTAAGGCATCTACCTGGATCCCACATGGCCTACTGCCTTGGAAATATGGGGCCCAATGGTTTGAAAGACATATGTGACACATGTGTGTGCCCGAAATCCTGATGAGAAGGAGAGATGGAGGACAAAGTGTTACATCACAATGATGTCCCATCAGAAGGTGCTTTCTCCCTCTTTCTTCTGTCTCTCTCTGGCCAGCGTGCACATCCTCTGACAATAAAACATACATACATTCATACATAGTATAGTGGTATTCTTGGCAAGACTAGAAGTTGCCCTTCTGATTACACTTTTATGTTATCACTTTTATTGATAATTTTACTCCTAAGGTCCATGATTTGCAGTGATTGTCTAATCAATTACAGCAGTGACAGTCAATCTAATTATTTGGCTTACAATATGCAACCTTTTGTTTAAGTATCTAAGTAAGGGATAAGAAGCCTTTTGAAGATCAGCTTGTATTTATGCAATGCTAAAAATATTATCTAATTTGGATCTTTAAATGAGGACATTTTCAAAGAATTGTTTCTAAGCTTAGATTTAGAAATGAGAGGAAATAAAATCTTGCAACATAGGTAATAAACATACACAATTGTTTTCTTTATTCATATATTGATTAGAGAACTTTAAAGGCTAAACACTCCTTCCCAGAATATGTCTTACATTTGCTAGTTTCCATCTAGGAAACAAACTGCTGATTATTTCAGTTTTTAATATAAGGTAAACTCCATTCATTGCTAATTATCCCTAGTAATGATTGTAATGGTTTCAATTAAGTTTGGGGATAGTTAAATTTTTATATTTATATTTCTAGTTTATGTTTTTCCATTAGAGTACAGATTTTTTTAAAAAAATGTTTCCAAAACCACAGATGGAATTTTTTAATCAAGTGAGTAATTCTGAACCCTCTTGGGGCCTGCCAGTGGTAAGGTGGTTGGTAGGGGAGGGGGCTGGATTCCACACAGATTTTTAAAAAAATTGTTTCCAAAACCACACATGGAATTTTTTAATCAAGTAATTCTGAACCCTCTTGGGGCCTGCCAGTGGTAAGGTGGTTGGTAGGGGAGGGGGCTGGATTCCACATGGCTGACTGTGCAGTTCAGGTCTAGGGACAGGCAGTTTGAGGGGCACTCCGTGTGTGTGGCATGCGTGCTCCAAATCCTGAGCTCAGAACAGGGAGAGAAGATTTTCACATGGCTGTCCAGCCCCACTGCCCCCCAGGGGTGCTTTCTTACTTTCTCTTTCTATCTCCTTTCAGCACAGTGCCCTATAGCAAATTCAAAAGAGAGAAAAGGAGAGAATAGTGAACCCTCTCATTTTCAGTGTGGAGTTTAATATGCATTCACTTTCAAATTCAGGCTGATGGCTCTTTTTTTTTTTTTTCCTGATGGCCCATTTTGACTAAGCCTAGACTTTCCTTTAAGTTGATGGCTGTAGAAGTATAAGCACATAATACCCAACAAGAACTTAGTTGTCAAATCTCCTGCCTAGCCTGATAGTGCCTAGGGGGTCCTAGGCTTGGGGTGAATACCACTATTTTCATTGTACACACTTTTCTACATTTTTCCCCCAACACATTTATAGAAACTAAAACCAGTACCAATGATCAACTTGAGGCACCCTGTAAGGGAGAGGTTTCAGAGGAATCAGGCATTGTTAATTCTGTGAGGCAACTGACCTTTCTGCTTGCACCCATTAAAATAATTGCAGGCTTGAACAATTCACTTCTCTCTAGAACTCACTTTCTAGGACTCGCTTTTGAAAGTGAGTTTCAATCTTACAGACTAGACTATCTCTAAGGTTTTTTACAAGGGTGACATTTCTTTCTTTCTTTCTTTCTTTCTTTCTTTCTTTCTTTCTTTCTTTCTTTCTTTCTTTTTTTTTTTGCTATAGGGCACGTGCGCTCTCGCCAGATGGACAGAGAGATAGAAGTCACACCCCTGTCTCCTCCATTCTCCTCTCAGGATCTTGGGCACGCACACACATGAGCCCGGCGTGAGTTTTAAGCCACCGGGTCCGGTACGCAAACTCCGGTCGACTACGTGGGAGTCCAGCATAGCCATTACATTAACTGCTGGTCCTGCAAGGGTGACATTTCCATGACTAATTCAATTCCTCTTATCACTCTTCCTTTCTCCTCCTATAATCACAGACAGCTTCAGTTACTCAGTCCCCCCAGAAATGAGATTTACCAAAATGTGAAGACACAGATGTTTTTCTTATGCTTAAGAAAACTTTGATAAAGAGCCCAGTTTTAGGGCCCATTGCTCTCATCAATCCCCCATACTTTTTAAGCATGGCTTTACAATAACATAGGCTGATAGTGTAAATCAGTTTATTCCCTACAGATTATTGATCCATCTCAGGGTTCCTTGTAAAAGGAAAGTCTAACAAGTGGTCATTTGACAAGAGTGCTGCTTCATTTTCATGTGTTTTAGGCTTACCCAGTGGGGATTTGGACTACAGTTGCTATGTGCGATCTGGTTTCTCACGTGCAGGGCATTACCGTTGCACCAGAAGCCAGCCTGAAACAATTTTAATGTATCATTTATAGGTTATACTCAGGTGTAGGCTTTGCACACAGAAAGTGCTTTGGGTACTGTGATTTTTTTTTTTTTAGCAAAATAATTCTAATTTCTAACTCACAGTAAACATATACATCCAATAATATGTGCTCAGTTTGCACACCTATTCATAAATGACTTCTAAATTACAACTGCTTTGATATTTTAGCATGTACTGGCTACCTCAGTTGAGATACAAAGAATGCTCTTAGACAGGTAACATTCTGAATAGAACAGATTGGTCATGGCAGAATTTGCTTTAGTTAGAGAAGTTCTATAAACTTAAAGCTTTGTAGAGCTACTACTTTTGCATCTAGTATTTCCAGATGAATAAGATGCAGCAACATCAGATTGTACCCCAGAGGAATCTCCTTAGTTTTTCTGGTTATGGAACCATGTATCCACATCAGTTGGTACTGTGCAGGCAGACTTGCACGGTGGTGGTAAAGCATCCACAATGGTTTTGGCAGCACCAGGATCACATTTGAAGGGGCTCTCAGTCACTGTTGTATTCATGCAACTGATTCCTTTTCCATCTGTTTTCTTAGTCACCAGTGCTTTCCAATAGTCATGAGTGCTTTTAATATCAACAGCATCAGGGTCCTCCACATGAATGGCAGTGACTTTCCAGTCGGTCTTCCCTGGGTCAATCATGGCCAGTATGCCCAGAACTTTCACCCCAATTATTTCACCTCTGGCACAAACCTTGCTTCCAATTTCACACACATCAATCAGGTCATTGTCGCCACAAAAGCCGGTATGCTTGTCATTGTGTCCTCGGTCTTCCCAAGTCTGAGGAATGGCACCATCGTTCCAGATGCATCCTTTATAAGGAAACAAATTCGCAACATAGCGGAGTTTTCCTTTTTTTACATCTGGTTTAATTGGGGTTAAAGGATCCTTTGTAGCAATCTCCATTTTTGCATTAGGCCAACGTGGCACTTCAACCACCATGTGGAACACATCCTTATCTGAATACATTGGAATATCATGAAATGGAGATATATATTGTCCTTTTTCATATTTGAGGAAGACTCGGTACTTGAGGGAGAAGAGCATGGCGCGCTCCTCGCAGCTGTAGCCGCTCATGGTGCCGAAGACTAGCCGTAGCGCTGCCACCCAGCCACCGGACCGCACGCCCTGCAACTGACCGGTACTGTAAAGCACAACTCGGTTTCTCCATAATAAAAGTAAACTCACTGTATCTTCGCCATCTCTTCCACACAGTCATGCTGTCATCCGTATTATCAGCCATTATTAAAATAAGAGGTGCAGTACCGAGCTAATTGCAAATTACACCGTCTTGTCAACAACATCAGCCTTACTGGAAAGAATGTTGCATGGTGATGACTTAGTGGTTCTAAAATTTACTATTTTTTTTTTTATTAAAGATGAGGTGACAGCTAGACAAAGTATGTATTTTATTTACTTGTTTATTTATTTATTTTTAAAAAACCAAAGTTCTACTTTCGGCTTTTCTGCCACTGACTCATAAATGTGAACTTGAACTAGTCACTTGTCCCACAAGTGGCTTAGTTTGTAGACAAAAGTAAGAAAATGCTTCACTTTCCCTAGCTGAATGTTAGAGAACTACTGAGATCACTTAAGTAAATATTTTTCTTTGAGCTCCCAAGAAGACAGGAACTTCATAAATATTTAGTATTATTGTTACACATTAGGTACAAGTAGACAGGAAAATTATGATATTTCCAAGAAGAAATAACATATTTCAAACCATCCTAGTTCATACCAAGTGATTTTGTATTTGGCTTAATACTGTCCCTTGGGTTTTCTTTCTTCCTCATGCCTTCCGTGGTCACTAGCAGCGGACTAATGTATAAATATAAATAAACCTTAGAACAGAGGGTTTCAAGGCGAGGAAGCTCAGCATGGATGCAGCCCCACTGGCTGACCCCACGCTGTGTATCAGAATCCAAATAAATAGTACATCTTAACCCCTGTTTGAAACGTGTGGGAAAATGACCCATTATAAAATAACTCATTTGGTTGAACGTCCTAAACTTAAGAAAGACCTCACTGACTCTGGATTTTTGTCTATTTATTTTGCCTCTTTCTGTTTCTGATGGGTCCATGTTGTGCAAAGAAGCCTAAAAAACTATGATTGCAACAGGCATGTTGAGAATCACTGCGTTTATTTCAAGCGTTGTCTTAAAAAATTTATTCACCTGTTTCTTTGTGGATTCATGTCCAACAAACTGTTTCTCCAACACTTTAATGGAACTGGGTTCTGGAACATTGTCCTCGGAATGCATACAAGGACTATTTTGGGATGATGGAATTTCTTTTTTTTTTTTTCCTTTAGTTTACTTTCTTATTTATACTTTTCTGCAATTCTGACATTTTTCTTTAAATAAGTGGCAAGTTTCATTTTTTCCAAAAACAGGTTTTTTGGTTTTTTTGTTTGTTTGTTTGTTTGTTTTAGAGAGAGATTTTGGCTATAGGGCATGTGTGATCGCCAGAGAGAGAGAGATACAGCAAAAAATCACCCTGGGGGCGGGTGTGGCCGTGCCACAGTCCCTTCTCCATTCTCTTCTTGTGATTTTGGGCACATATGCACACGTGGCGGGAGTGAGTTTAAAACTGCCAGGTCAAGGACTCAAACTGCAACTAACTCTGTGGGAGTCCAATGATTTAACCATTTTGCCATCTGCTGGTCCCAAGAGTTTTTTGTTTTGTTTTCTTTAATAATTTTGAAGCCCCTTACCACTGATTTTATTCTCCTCTCTGTCATCTATCCTGAATTTTTAATGAGTCTGTTTTTTTCTTCTGCCCATCTTATCATTTAAAATGAGTGGTAATACAAAAATGGATTTTCAACTTGAGAAACTGAGTGCTCTATGCAATTGAAATTTGGAGGGCTTTTTTATTTTTAAGTTTATTTCATATCTTCCATGAGAGAGAAGAGACTCTCAATGGAATCTTCACATCATGACCCCATCCTCTGCTCAGTCAGACATGATCACCAGCACTGGCACCCAGTTGGAAAGAGAGAGCTCTGGATGTGAACCCAGGACTTTCTCAAGTGGATCCAGCATTACCTAACATGTGTTATGCTACACCACTTTTGCTAATCTGGGGATTGGTTTTGATCGAGAGAGTTCAGGTAGCTTACAAAGCAGATGTAGATAAGATTTTCCATTTTGTCTGAAGTTACTAGGGTAATTCAAGCCAAAGCAGAGTGGGTCTCTTGAATATGAATTATGCTCAGAATATTCTGTTTGTTAACCTAATCTCAAGATGTTTGTATTAGTGTTAATGAGCTTAATCAGCTTTTTGAGTACCCAAGACATTTTAGAAGCAATGCCAGTCACAAGAAAAGACATTACCATCACATTCAAGGATCTTAATGAAATAATATAAACTATTGAAAACTTTCTGTGTATTTATGTGAGGTCTTTTGTTTGTGCCTAAATACCAATACAAAGTAGAACATCTACTCATATCTAGGAGCCAAGCTTTCCCTCCATAGTCTGATTTGTTAAAAGAATGTGTCTGGGGGCCAGCAGTTAGCGTAATGGCTATGTCGCTGGACTCCCACTTAGTCGACCACGGTTCGAGTCCCGGACCCGGTGGCTTAAACTCACGTCGGGCGCGTGTGCATGTGTGCCCAGGATCCCGAGAGGAGAATGGAGGAGAAGGGATTGCGGCGTGGCCACCCCCCTGGGGGGTGATTTCCTGCTTTCTGTCTCTCTGTCTCTTCTGTCTGGTGAGCACACGTGCCCTATAGAAAAAAACCTCTAAAAAAAAAAAAAAAAAAAAGAATGTGTCTGAATATGCATCCATTCGCTCTTCTACAAATATCTACTAAGTACCTATTGCATGCCTGACCATATTTTAGGCCATGGGGCTATGACAGGAAACATGCGGTTCCTGACTAAAGAGGTTGCTGGAAGACAGCAGGCACATTGACAAGAACTGCACTCAAGTGTTGGTGGTGTCATGAGAGGTCTGGGCAGAACTTTCCAGGGTAGCACCATAGATGGATGGTATTATCTGACTCTGAAGGGTGGGAAGGAGGATCAGAAAATACTTTAGAGGTCAAAGGCAAGAAAGAGAAACCTGTCAAACAAGCCATCTGAAAAGCACAGTGATGTGAACAGCATGGCTCTGCATCGAGCTGTTCTAGAGGAAGTTCTCATGTACCTAGAAGCCAATGGTGAGTGAAATAAGAGTGACAGGAAATAAAGCTAGAACAGTAAATGGGGGTTAAATCCTAGGAGGCCTGATGTCACATTGTTTTAACAAGGACTTAGAAAACATCCTAGCAGATTGCTTTCGGGACTTTATCACTCTGGGAAGTAGACAGAGCCATGTATTTGTTCCAGGCTTCTCTATACTAGGAAGGAAAGTAGGGGCCCATAACAGGTTTGCCTCTGAGCACTTTTCAGTACAGTGAGAGGCAGCTCAGTGTGGAATGACCTACTCCTCCTGACCTCTCTGCCGCCATTTTGGTCTTCTTTCTCTCCACGTCCCCCTTCCTTCATGGCTGAAGCGAGCAGCAGCAAAGTCCCTGGGGCTGGCGGAAGCCCTGTTCTAAGCTTGCTATCCTTAGTCTGCTGCCCCTAATGTCCGCCTAGTGGAGCTCCAGCACTCAGCTGCTGAGAGGTCACATTCTCATTGCCTCAGTTCATGTAAAGCTCCCCAGGCTCTTTCGTTTCTCACCCCATCCCAAGGTGTCAGCATCACTGGTCTCCCATGTTGGCCTGTTGCCATTGGGCTAAACGGGTGGACCTCGATTCCTTCTCTCCTTGGGACAGTCCCTGAACCCTCTGCTAAGCAAATCCACATAAAGGCTGACTTCCAGATATGGTCAAATAGTCTGAATCTTTAGAAGAAGATAGTTTAGATGTCTGCTGGTACCTTTGAAAAGTTGTGGGAAGGACCAGCAGTTAGTATAATGGCTATGCTGCTGGACTCCCATGTAGTCAACTGCGGTTCGCATCCTGGACCAGGTGGCTTAAAACTCACGCCAGGCATGTGTGCGTGCATGCCCAAGATCCCGAGAGGAGAATGGAGGAAAAGGGACTGTGGTGTGGCCATCCCCCCTGGGGGTGATTTCTCGCTTTCTATCTCTCTGTCTCTCTGTCTGGCGAGCACAAACACCCTTTAGCAAAAACCTCCCCACCCCCCCAAAAAAAGGTTGTAGGAGAAGGAAATAGACTTAAGAAAAAACATGCTGAAAAATGATTCAAGGAGAGCGAATAAGAAGTACAAAGAGTGGGTCAGCAAGTGGCATGGTAGTTGAGGTGCCGGACTCCCATATGGCTGAGTGCAGTTTGAGTCCCAGACCTGGTCACTTGCTTTTTCACTTCTGTCTTTCTGGTGAGCAAGTGAGTCCTGGAGCAAATTAAAACAAATAATAAACAAAAGTAATTATTTTTTCAAAGTATGAAGAGACTTAAAAATTCACAAAAGACCAGAATTAAAATACAAGATTATTTTAGGGCAAAACTTCTTTTTTAAATCGATGAATAGTTTTTTCATAATATACATTTTCCATGAATGTTTTGAAGACTCTGACAATAGAAGACCTGTGTGGAGCCTTAAAATCCAGAGTAAGCAGTGCATCTTTATAATATTCTGTTTACGCATATGTTTTCATATGATATGCTCTTATTTAACTTTCTGTTTTGTATTGTTTCTATTTTTAAAGCCACCTTAGAATTGCTTTTGAAACATAGCAGAGTATAAATAAGTGAATATATAAAGAAGGTAAATTTATAGTTGCCATATCGAATATTTAGCATGCCGAAGACAGGAGTGATATGGTTAAATGTAGAGGCGAAAACGACACAAAACAAAACAAATTTTTGATAAACATGGCTATGGGCAGAACTGGAAATAGGAAAAAGAGAAGCTGAAGTTAAAATTTAACTTCCAAATGGTAATTCAACGCTGATCCACCCTATTCATAGCCAAGGAAACTGAATTTGTTCTCTCAAAATCAAACCATTCTGAACCAAATAATATCAAGGCGGAAGGCACCTGTAGGGGCGATGACCCCTGCGATGAACAAGAGTGAGGGAAACGCTCCTTGGGAGGTGAACCGCGCCGCTCCGTGGAGGTGGGGGTATCCCAGGTAGACGGCTCTGGAAAATCCACAGCAAGGGACACGAAGATGCAGAAGTTACTCTGGACCGGACTTTCTCTCCTTCCCTCCACTACACCCCAGGGAGTCCTTTAGCTCAGGCAGCTCTTCCCCTGGCTAAATGGGCTCCCGTCAATTTCTCATTTTCCCCCAGAAGCCCCTCCCGCGCTGGGGCTCGCTCTTCCTCGGCTTTCTCCCCCTGCTCCGGGCCCCTTCCCTAGGGCTTCTGCCTCCTCTTCTCCCAGGAAGCCCATCGCTGCCATTCCCCTCGAACCGAGACCTGGGGACCAAGGTCAGGGAGGTGGGTGGCAGGTGACCTGGAGGAAGGGGCCAGGTAGGGCGAGAGTCGGCCGGGCGAGTCCGGACGGGATGAGTCGGGACTGGACGGTGCGCGCCCGGCGGGCCGCCCGGGGCGGGGAGAGCGGG